ACACACACACACACACTCTTCCACCTCCATCTATACCCCACCTTGTCAGATAAGGGAGATCCAACCATCTTGATCAAAAATCCCATTCAAGTGAGCATTCCACCCTGGATGCATTGGTGACCATGTTATGCAGTTTTTTTAAAATATTCAATTAATCATCCCTTGTCAAAAATCATAATCACAGCCCCATACATTCTACCTGAAACAATGTAGACTAACAGTGCAAGCCGGGATCCAAAGGCACTTTGACACCTTTTTAGTTTTTAGTGAAATGCACATGCCATGTGTGTTTGTGGGTATTGTTAGGGGGGTGGGGGACAAAAAAAAATCAATAGAAGCTGCTTTCATGGCGTGGATGGATTGCAGATGTAGTGATATGGTTGTCATAATGGTGTAAGAGTGGATGGGGGGGTTGTTTTGATGGGGTCTGTATGTATGGGTTTTATGGGGGAGGAGGACAAGTTGTGTTAAAGGGGGGAGCAGGTTGAAATATGGTAAAGGGCTATTAGGCTGATTGAAATGACCTGACTCTCTCACTGCAGCTGATGCCAAAGGTTCGAGAGAAGTGTGTGTGGATGTGTGTGTGTAATGTATGTTTCTGAAACTACAAGTTGGGGGGGCGCTTGTGATCATGCTTGTCTGTGTGTGTATGTATGTATATTTGCATGCACAACTGTACGTGTGCGTGGGAGGTGCGAAGGCTTCCCATCTGTGTGGAATGAGGTGTTATATTCCCAGCGGGATGCCACAAAGAGAGACGAAGAGAAAAGAGAGGGGGGGATGGATTTAAAAAGATGGAAAGGAAGAGGATGGTCGCAACAAAACTCCTTTTGAAGTGTATATTTTTAATGGATCCTCTCCCCTGCGCTGACGTTATTTTCACAGAACGCTGAACAACAACAACATCAGCAGCATCCCCGTCTCCAGCTTCAACCACATGCCCAAACTACGAACCTTGTAAGTCGCACCTAACCCACCACAATGCTCTCTCCTTCTCTCGAAGTATTCTTTAAAATAAAACCATATTCCACAGTAGAGAAAGTGCTGAAGTCCCATAGATCTCAATGGGAGTAAATGTCATTCCAGGCAGTGTTGGGAGGCAGCCATAGCCACAGAGCACCACAGAAGGGTCTGTAGCAATGCCAGGGGCCATTATCCCCTCCATCTAAAGCACACACCATAACAACTGGCCCAGATAGACGCAAATAACCCCAGAAGCCTATTGTGTATTGTGCATTGTACATGATTACTAAATCTGAAATTATGTACAAATTAAAACAATTATGCCTGCTGAAACTCGTGACTCCCCGTGGCCACACTTCTTGCAGTGGTTCCCCACTCCCAGTGGGGTTATATTATATAGCTTTTCTGTTTATGTGAACACTGTGTGTCTGTGCACATGGGTTTGCATCTAGCATACGTGTTCCAGAGGTCCACACCACACCACAGCAAGAGTTATTCTGGACAGGCACAGCATTCCAGGAATGCCGTGTTGGGTTTAGAAAAAAGTCCTCTTTAGTTTTCTTCCTTTTTAGAATGTGCCATTTACAATCATCCATGTAGCGTATCATTTAGTGCATTTCGCCACAGAGATTGGATGTGATGAGTGCTAGGAAAGAATAGACACTTTTACCGCTATTTTGGTCTTCAGCTGGTGTTAGTTTGGATTGCAAAGAGAGGGTAGGCAGAGTAGATCTTTTATTGCATCCATGCTGAATTTCTGTCTCTCTTTTAACAGCCGTCTCCACTCCAACAATCTGAACTGTGACTGTCACCTGGCCTGGTTGTCCCAGTGGCTCAGACAGAGGCCTACAATTGGTTTATTCACCCAATGTACTTCCCCTGCCGAGCTCAGAGGACTCAATGTGGCAGAAGTACAGAAACACGAATTCAGCTGCTCAGGTAAGACTTGTGGAGTTACTTTATATTATATTAAACTTAAAGAGAGATAAAACAAGAACATTGAAAAGTATTGTTTCTTTTGTCATTTACATGTTCAGTGGACAGGCTAGTTTATAGCATCTCAAAAAGGGATGAAATGGCAATCTTTTTGTTGCACATGGGTACTTTGAACAAATCATTCATGCCGAAAACAAACTCCTGTTCTTGCTAGAAGATATTCTCCTCCCTCTACTCCCATTGTGTATTTGTGTCAGTGTATTCACCTGGCAGCCACCTGACAGCTCCTCTGCCCCCGGGCAACCCCACGGCTCTCCTCTGGCCCTTTCATGTGTCTCCAGCTTTCAGGAGCTGGCAGCAGAATGCCAGCAAAATGCCATGACATATATATAAAACACACTGCCAGAGCAAAGGCTTCCCCCACTGACAGTAGTACCCCTCTCGTCAGTCATTATTATTCATGGCCTATCACCTCCTCACACAAGGATTATTGTGGCTTTGAACTTGCTGTTTCTCTCTTGCTGTGTGTGTTGTGTGTGTGAGAGAGAGAGAGAGAGAGAGAGAGAGAGAGCATGTGCATGTGCATGTGGGCGTGGCATGCCGTACATTGGGGTTATCATATCAGAACAATGGAAAAACAGCATGAGAACCTCCACTCCCCACAAGGCCATCTCACTCTCAACACCAGCTGCAAGGGGTGTTTGTGTCTATGTTTGTGTGTGTTTGTGGGTGTGCGTCCCTCTCGCTCCATGGGTTGTGATTTTTATGCAGCCATACGGCGTGACAGCACAGATCATTAACTATTCATCGCCCAGGGAAAGAGACTCAAAGCGTGGGAGTGTAACGATTCCAGTTATGAAAGGGGAGCAGGGGGTGTTGGGGAAACTTTGGGGTCTGGTAGGATACAGATTCAGACATTGTGGTTTTGCATGATGGGGAATTTCAGTTCATGCTGACAACTTCCATTGTGTTAAAGATTTTAATGGTGTTTTAAGAACGGCAGTTTGACACCGATTGGTTCTCTGTGATTCTCAATAAGTCATTCACACTATTTTGGCAAGATACACACAACAAGATGCAAATAAAATCTATTGCTCTGTATTCCTGCCTATCTGTGCACAAACACAGTCATGCATTCACGCAAACACATGCACACATACAAACACACACTCCCCAGTTCCTTCTAGAGTGGATGAGTGACCAGAAGTTGAACTCCCAGTGAAGGACTCATTAGGGACTGGTTCGCTGGCACACACACACACACACACACACACACATACATACATATATTCCTTTTTTTTTTTGTATTTTCAATGTTCAGCACTGTGATTGTGCGTGCACTTAGTTTGTGCTGTGACCAGGCCAGGCCACCTGCGGGGGATTTGGGGCGGGGTGGCGCTGTGTTGGAAGAGAGGAAGAGGGAAAAGAGAGGCATGTTGTTGTGAGAGGCAGGAGAAGGAAAATGGGGTACAGTGCGTTATTAGTTTCAAAATATGATGAAATTCTGCAGCGCTCTCTGCATCATAACTCACTGACTATCCCAGTATTTCGTCTGGAAAGTGTCTCAATATTGTAAAATTTTGCCAGTAATGAGCAGAGTAACACATTTACTGCTTCACTTTAAAGCAAAATATCCCCCCCTTTCAAGGCAGTTGTTGGTCAAATCACATTGAAGCTGAACAATCTATCTAAGGCTCATTGTTTCTGTTTTAAAAAATAACTGATTTTTTACTTTGCATCTATGAAAAAAAACAAGTGAAAATTGCATTTTACAAATAACATTTGCAGAGCAAACACTTACTTTATTACTTTTTACATTTAAAGGACAAGTGTTTAGGATTCAGTGGCATCTAGTGGCAGTTGCAAATTGCAAACATTTGGATACAGCTCAGCCTTTGAAGTGTTTTGAAGAAACTACATTGGCTGCAAAACTCACGTAAAACGCTAAATCCATATCTATGCTGTGTTTGGTTTGTCTGCTGAATAGTTCCTCCTAAATGTTACACACTGGACCTTTAATTACTTACTCTGGTGTATAACCAGCAGCTTATTCGCTTTTTCTCTTATCTTTCTACGACTGGATGCAGTTTCTGAGCTCTTGCCACAAAATGATCTGTTTATTTTAAAAATGTGAACAGCAGGAACTACAAGTTTTAAAAAAAAAATAATAAAAAATAAAATCTGTGTGCAAATCAGTATCTCTTAGTTCCTTTTGAGAAGATCAGTAAAAAAAATTACAGCCCAGTTTTATCCTCATTACTCTTTGACCTTAGTTTGTCTAAGTGGCCTCCGCTGTGATTTTATTGAGCAAAACACGTAAACCCTCTTTGCTCCCCTTGATCATTTACAGGAGAAGTAACTAAAAGTTAGAAGCTGTTTGCGCCAATTTAGGGTTATATGACAGAAAATTAATGACTATTGTACTAAATTACTGCTCCTGAGGAATAATAAATGAAGTAAAAATATTATGTTTGAAATGAGGAATGAGTAATAAATTGCTTGAGGGGTGGAATAAAATACGACTCCTGTAGTGGGAAGCAGGGAAGAAATGACTATATAAAGAGGGAAAATGGGGAGAGAACTGGTGAACTGTGGTGCTGAAAGAGAATTTGAGGAAAGAGACAAATGGGAAGAAGCCAGTGATAACATTTGGAAATAATGAGAGAAATGAGGTGAAGTGAGGTTAAATGTAAAGACTTGCGAGCAAATGGACAGGAGGTAATGGACTGCAGTGACAGTCACTGGCAAAGATATGGGAGTGAAGAGGCTGAAAATGGGGACGCTAAGAGGAGTGAGAGGGAGCAGAAAGAGCAGCTGGAGGAGGGGAGAGTGATAGAAAGGTGAAAGCAAATAAAACAAGGGAAATGAGACGGGAGCAGAGTGGTAGAAACAGCGGATGGGAAAGAGATAATGGGGAAAACAGCGCTAGGAAGAACAGGGGACGAGCATACATCAAACAGCTTCACCTCAAGTATACCTGTCAGTGAGCTGTCATTGTTAAGGCCGCTCCAGCTGTGCTCTGCACTCTCCCTGATCCCAGGCCTGTCAAATATGCCATGTTAGATCAGAAGGGAGTTCTTCTCTGCCCTACACCTGATCCCAGATCTGTCAAAGCTCTGCCATCCCAGATCACAGGGCCTCAGATCACGTGGATTGAGCGACTGTGCAAGTGTTGTTTCACGCTCTTGGTACTATTTGTTGTGCTTACACGATTCCCAGATCTGTCAAAGCGTCTCGACCCTTCAGGTAATTGAGTATGATTGGCCAGATACATGAAGTCTGACCTATTGCTTACAGGCTAAATGGTCCTAGAGCTAGAGCCAGTAATTTCATAGTAAAGCATAATGTTTGGCAGTGACCTGTCTCTGTTTTAGGGAGTGGAGTTTTGAGAACTGTGCTTTCTCTGTCACTGACTTTCACCATCACTCACTCTGTCTTCCTCTCCCTGAATCTACCCTCCCTTCACTCTCTCTCACCAACATTTTCCACACAAGCTGAGCGATAGATAGGAAGGTAATCAAATATTCATGGTTCGAAACTTGGATTAGTAATGCTGTGTAAATGAGGCCATTTAAAAGTCTGTTTTATTCATTTTATCTGGGTTAGGCTTACATACACACATATTGTACACACACACACACACACACACACACACCGCATATACCAAACAGGGCGTGCTGGCAGTGCAAGCGCACGCTCTTCACCATATCGTTGACAGTGCCGCTGCTATTTGAACAGGTATCTAGAGACAGCATGATGGGTTGTGTGCTCTGTATGCAAATTGAAAAGTTGAAGTGTTTTAGAACAAATGGAAGTGAAGAGGTGGGGGGTGTAAAGCTGAATGTGCAGAATGGCATCAATTCCACCCAGAGAATGCAGACTCAGGAGGAAAATTTGTGGCAAGATCAATGGATGTTATTGGGAGGCCTTCAATCGCCACTCCAACTCTATTATTCATGTCTTTCTTCTCCTCTCAATGTACTGTGGCACTCCTTTGATAGATAACCTAGTTTCTTGCCCATTGATTCTCAAGGATGTACGGCTTTACAATAAAGTCAAAAGTAGGATGTTTCATTTCTTTTTTTCTCAATGTCAAAACATCCCTGGGAATGTGCAATCATTTGCAATTCAGTCCATAAAGCGCAAAGGGTTGATGACATGAACAGCAGCGGAAGAGTTTGAGCTCCACGTGATTGCAAGAGCTGCTCCATGTCACCGCACAAATCCTTCCGGCAAACAATCTCACTCTGTAATCCTGCTTAGATTTGTGCTGCTCTCATTGAAATAAAACCAAATTCACCTGTACTCACACACCTGTAGGAGCTGCATATTCCTCTCTTCTTATTGTATTTTCTTTCTGTTTGTGGCTCATGTAGTTTTTTTCTCTCTTCTTCTCTTCTCTGCAGGTCACCAGGAGTCTTCCAGCCTGCAGCCGTGCAGTGTTGGCGGAGGCTCCTGCCCAGCCATGTGCACCTGCAGTAACAACATTGTGGACTGTAGAGGGAAAGGTCTCACGGCCATCCCAGCCAACCTGCCCGACAGCATGGCAGAGATGTAAGCACCTTGTTTAATCAGTTTCCTGCATCTTTTCTTTTCCATAGGGAGTGCTGTCATATTGGCCTACTCGGCATGTTAGAGAACATAAGCTACTGAACCCTTAGCAAATATACAATATTAACATTTATCATTAGCCAACAACAGATTATAGCTATCATTACACCACATTCAAGGCTGTAATGGTGTCATGAATTATACTGTAGATAATGCTGTATAACCAACTCAACACTTTAATAAAACATCGTCTTTGCACATGTTTTTCTGTCAGTAGATCTGACTGAAACCTATGCAAAGTGCACTTACAGCTTCAACAAAGCAAGGTGAAAGGGAAAGAGTAAGCAGGGGCTACTGAGTTGTATTTATTGTTTGAATTAATGTCGTAATGACAATAAAAATACCTTGTCTGGCCTAACAGTATATATTTGGTTCTGCAGTAACAATCTAAACTTTTAGTATATAACAATATAACAACATTAGTCCCAAGAGGATAATGTGAGATTAAAATTGCAGATAAATTTAGCTACAAAGGGAATACATGATTTTTACATCGATCAATATTTATGTAATGCCATCATATTCACAGCCCTATGTAGATTTGCTGAAGGACTGCTCAGATCTGTTAGGAAGTTTAGTCTTCAGCACAGTGAAACTTGAGCAGCAGACCCACAGTGAAGAAGTGGATCTCAGAGAAATGCAGGGACATCCACAGCTACATTGTTCTTTGAAGAATGGCACCGCAGGGCATTTGTTTGAGTATGCGCATTAAAGATGCGAATGTGTTTCCATATGTACTGTATCTGTCTGTGTGTATATGCTTATGACGGGGTTTAACAAGGCTTGGAGGATTTCAGCATGCATGTTTTATGCACATATGCTGTTCTAGCTTGCTTTTCTCACCATGCATCACCCGGCAGGGAGACATCCATCCATTTGCTTTACACTGACAGACACATGCAGACTTAGAGCAGAGTTTAGACTGAGACTGAATGCTCTTATCGGCTCAGATGGCTGTGAACCGCGTGCGAGCGCTTTGCTAACATCCCTCCCTCAGTTTATCAGTGCTCTAACATCTGTCTGGGCATTAACTGTTTACGGCCCACATGCTATCAGTGTACTGTAATTCCCGGGAATGCACGACTAGACTTTTCAAGGTAGTGCTTTTACTCTCGTTATCTGGGGTTTAATGCCCCTGGCAAAAGTCTGCATGACATGGTAGAGCAACACCGTGATTTATGCACGGTGAAAAAAAGGGAGGATGAAGGGAGAAAGCCAGCGGTCGCATTGCATGTTCTTCCAAGGAGCATGTGTGTAGTTAGGAGGACACAGCAAGTTTCTAGGTCTCCTCCTCCCCATGGGGTCTGTTTATAAATACCCAGCTAGTATGGAAGTCACAGATCCCATGTTCCCCAACAACCCTGACCCATTTCTAGTGCAGTGGTGTGCTCAATTTCCAAATTTGGACATGCAGTTCACACTTCTGTGTGTTCCTGTCTAATTGAATGACCACCCATGAAATATTGAGTTATTTTAAATCATTTAAAAGTCTTCACACATCCTGCGTATTGACTTTTGAGATGTAAATAATTCAGCCTCAGCCGTGCATTTTGCCATGTTTTATGGTTTGTAGACCTCTTCAGCATGTCCTCCAGTTGTAATGTTCTACAAGTGGAGAATCTCTTAGAGACTGGTGTGATCTATGAGCCCAATAACCAGCGAGCAGCACTAATGGGAGATCAGGGAGACGGCTGAAAGATAGCTCTACCATGCACTGGTTTTATAGACAAGAGATTCTCTCTGCACAACAGATGAGTAAAGACTTTTTAAAAGTCTCCCTGCCCTTCACGTCTAATTGGTGCTTAACCGTGTCCTGCTAATAAACTCTACTATGTTCTGATTCATCTTTTACAAGACCAGGGTGAAACACTGGCTTACATCATGCACATTCCTCCTGTACTGCCCATCAGAGCCTTACCTTAAAGGTTATATTCCCACAACGCTCTTTCCTTCACTCTTTCTCCTCCTCTCTTGATTGTTTTTTACCTCCTTCACATCTCTCTGCGTCTTCTCTTCCTCTTTTTTCCGGCTCGCCAGATCACCACAGGCAGGTTCGAGAAGGCAGATCAACGGTGAAGGAATAAAAAAGGGAAAAGGGGGGGGTATTCTGCTCAGTAATTTGATGCAGCAGGTTTGATCTGTGCTTGAAGTTCATTATAAAATCAGTTTCAATTACAGCAAGGCTGGCTGCTGGGTATCAAGGCTAGCCTAATGCCTTGTTAATGAGGCACTCGGAAACTCATACACACACAAACACACACATGCTGCTCTCATTATGTACAAATCGGAGACCTGCAACCTCCCTGCCCTGCTCTCCCCTAATGAATGCCAGTGTTGTGTTTATGGCTGTGGGGATGTGAGCTGGTTTCTGTACTCCTCTTGCGAGACCAGGCCCAGTTAGCCTAAACACTACCACAACAGATTATTATGCACCATAGTCTCTGTCTGTAATGACTGAACTCTACCATAAAAGTCCCCCCCCCAATCCTTCGGCTTTCATCTGCTGCTGCGGTCTTGCCATCCATTTCTGACTCACGCACTGGGTGAATACCCAAAGGCGTAATGTGTTTCCCCTTAATGAAAACCATGTTCAGACCCTAATGAAAAGGATGAAGACCATTGATTGGGCTGACACAAACACCAGCTCACAGACACACACAGACACCCACATACAAATGTTTAGTCTGATAAATTGGATGGGAACCATTGATTGTCCGTCCGAAGGCAACTCTGAGAGATTGTTTCTTTTTTCTCTACTGATTGGACAGAACAGCCCCTTTGTTGATTGGAGGGATTAAGTCACTTGCACATATCGATCTGAGAGGAGTGACAACACAAAGGCTAAAAAGTTGTCAGACAAGCATTGTGTGCCCATGTCTGGCTCAGAGGGTTTTTTTATATGCTGACACACACCGGAGTACTGCAGCACGTAGGCATGCACGTACACAACCAACACTGAAACACATGCAAACAGCATGTAGAGTGCCAGACTGGTTTGGACCAGTCAGACAGACTGGTTGATGAGAGAAGGCGCTAAAGCCACTTGGCCCACCACTCTGCCGCATGGTGAGGGCAGAGGAACCACAGCACTGTCACTCTGCTGTAAATCCACGGACACATTGGGACAGGCAGACAAAAACAGACAGAGAGAGCATGTACACCACAGGAATCTGTGGTCTGGAATCACTGCTATCCTAAGAATGTCAATTGCGCTCCTATATCGCTCCATAAATGTAGGCCACTCCTTTTGAAGGGGAAAGATGCTTGATTGAAAAATTTGGAAACTCAAAACTGTTAAGTGGCTGTGGCTAATTTCTAACAAAACATTCACCCCCCATTCAACCCCCAACAGACATAAACACAGCAATGCAGAAAGCCTCAGAGACATGTAGTAAATCTGAAATGTGGAAATGGTCCTGCACCAAGAAATCACATACTTAAGAGGGTAATGGTTAAATCTATCAACAATGTTCTGTTCGCCAAAGAGGTTTTCAGAATTTTAAATATTTCTAATTTTCCTGTGGTGACAAAAAGCCTTTTTAATGATCTTTAGATTCCGTTGTAAGCCACTGGGCTACCACACCTCGCACAGGCCTATGCCTCCTGTTCTGCAGCTAGTTCCTCTGCTGGGAGGCAGCATAGTAGGACAACCAGACAGGCCCACAGCTGGCTCCCTCCGGGCCCCGCTAAGCCTTGTTAAGGACAGTTTTAAAAGCTGTGAAGTGACCTGCAGATAAACAGCCCTCTGCCAGCTACACCAGGGAATTGGTCTGGGACTGAGCTGGGTCCTAAGTAGCAGCCGGCCCGAAAACACACAGACATGCATGCCCACACTAATGGGGTTTAGTGATGTCTGTTTCCTTAGGACCATCTGAGACTGATTAGGCTTTCTGACTGTGCTGAACTAAATGACCAAGTGTATGTTTGTCTGTATGTTCATTTCATTCTTTTGACAGTGTTTTATGGCGAGTTTTTGCCAGACATTTTTCCTGTCATCTCTGCTTCAACAGCTCTTAGGCTCACATGAAAAAGTAAACTAAAAGAAGTAATATTTCACCAGGGTGCAAAGGTTTCAGTGGACACTTTGCAGACACCCAGAGGATAGAGACAAATTTCACAAGAACAAGTGAGATCATTATTGATTTCAGGATCTCATATGAGAACGAAAGTGCTGGACACTGTAAATGTTATACTGAGAAGAAATATTACTTTGAGTTGAAGACCTTAACACCCTCCCACAAATTGAAACAGAGCCTTTTCCCCTCCAGTCCTTTTCCACAGCACTTTAGTATTCAGACTGTTTATTGGTTCTGAGGATGTTATGACTCCAACATGCCTGGACCTATTACAGCTGGGGAATAGATCTCCGCTAATATAATCAGGCCAATCACCAAGGGTCAAAGGTAATGGGAGGATTACTCAGCTCTGTTGTCATGGAGAAGTCTATTGTTTGGTTAACTGATGGTATCTCCTCTGCTCTCCTCTTTTCTCTTCTCCTCTTTTCTCCAGACGTCTGGAGCAGAATGGGATTAAGTCTGTTCCTCCAGGAGCCTTCTCTCCCTACAAGAAACTGCGTAGGATGTAAGTACAGCAGTACACTCACCTCGGGGCTAAATAATACAGATGAGAACAAGAAGTTGAGGGCTGGAAAAAGAAGGGACAATTGGCAGACTTCTCATTCCACTCCTAAGGAGCATGAAGTATTTATTTTGTCTGCGCCCAAAGAACATATTCTTGTTCTCAGGCTTGGGGTGGCATGGAAAGCAAGCACTCAGAGGCTACACGAGCATAATAACAGCTCTCGTCTTTCATTGCTGCGCACTGGTATTCCCCTGGCTAGTGCTGTGTCCAGTCTGTGTTGTGCCTGCGTCGGCAAACTGTAAACTGCGGCTGGGATGATGATGAGGGGACAGAGAGTGTGCTGGAATGAGGGCAGACGCCTCGCTCTCTCTGGGAGTGAACAGTGACAGGCTGGTAGTTGAGACTGAGTGGTTTTTCACCCACTGAACCAGCTGTCCGGTCACCGAGCCAGCACACACAAGTCGGCCAAGCCCATAACACCAACACCTCCAGACCTGACCGACATAGCAGTAGGGAGACGGAGGAAACGGAAGGTCAGGGAGTTTCTCTGCCCTTCTTAAAGGATTCCTCATTGTTTTATCATCCAACTCCAGGGACAGTTTGAAGTTCACATGAGGTGAATACAGAGCAGTCGACACACTGAGGCAGCTGCTGTTTCACTGTGAAATCTCTATGGAAATTAATATTTATAGTAGAAAATAAAAAATAAAAAACAATACAATACAACGTATTGTAAACAATAGCCTAGTATTTTTTTCAGGGATGGGACTCAACCAGGTCAGGTTTCTATGTTTGAGTAAAGGAAACCCTTTAACTAAACAAGTGTTACACAATACACTTTTACAAAAGGGTCATTAATTGTTATTGAAGATTATAAAAACTTTCGTGGTTTTCATAGAATATATTGAAAACAGATTTAGTGGCAGTTTGACAGATTAACAAACGTTACACTAGTTAACAGAAATGGAGCTAAAATGAGTAACTGCTATCTTATTGTAGCTTTCCTGACCCTGGACTTGCAGGAAATTATTATTTATTTCTACAAAAATAAAGTGTATGTGCAAAAACTATGAATCATGGAGACTCAACAAGGCCAGGGTTTCAAACTAAATAAAACTCTAATGAAAATGTACTCTGTATTCTGAACAGAAACAACATTGAGCAGCTGCTATTTTACTGTAGTGGCTAATCTGCATGAATTAATTGCGAACCTTTTGCAGTCAATTAGGCACTTAAAGATTTCACATTTATTTAACAAACTATAATAAAAATATCTAAGCTTAACTGCCTAAAAGTCATCCAGAAATATATTTTTAGGAAATAATTAGGTTTTCATAGACCATATATAAACCAGACTTAATGGCAGTAAGAATGTGTTGCTCTCCTCCATCTGGTTTTCCAAATGACCTGACCTGCTACTGTTGCTGCTGCTGATTCTGCATTTAGCAACAACAATGCATGGCTGCATGTCTGTGTTGACCCTCAGGGCCTCTGTTGATTCAGCTGGCTATGTGCCCTCACTGGCCAGGCCTGTCCCGTGTCCAACACCCTCAGTGCGCACTGTGTGTAGACAGCGTCAATACATCATGATGAATATGGTCTCTCTCCAGGGTCATGCTCTGCAGATGTTCACATACACGTTTTATACTTAGTGGTAGGTTTTTCTAGCATATTATGTATGGGACATGGGTTATATATATATATATTTGATTATAAAGCAAGATTAGGTAAGTTGATGTTATATATAGGCTTTTGTGAATGTGTTTGTTTATTTGCAGTGTGCGCAGCTATGTGTGCAATGCCTCTCCTGACCCTGCGTCTCCTCTCCTCTCAGTAAATGCCAACCGCACACATTCTCTTTCACCTTGTCCCGGTTTGGATGACCTACACGTGAACCACTCCTTAAGACAGGGACGCAGTAACAGCCCTCACACACCAGCACATACACAAACACACCAGTGTCTGAGTTTACAGAGACACACCAGTGCACATGTTGGCTCCTTCGCCGCGTTTTCATTTCCAGGAAACCTCAGTCGTTTGCAAGAAGACAAATGGGTACTTATTTAACTGTTACCCCCAAATGAGAAAATATCCCTCTTTCTTACCACATGATGATTTTCCTTCAAAGGTATCCAGTCGACTGGAGTTCAGTCCACATACTCCATTAACTCTCTCTCTCCATCTGTCTTTCTCTCTTTCTGTCCCACTGTTCCTCATTTACGGTTGCATTTACTCACATAGACACACAGACACATAAACACATAGCCATACAGACACACAGGCTTAGTGGTTATCCTGTGGGGAGAGGCCTGTGGATCCTATTAACAACGGCAATGTTCAGAGGCAGCCTACTGTATTTCGCTTTGGATTTCAGCCCTGCACCCCATTTTTACTTACACACACTCTCACCATGATACAACACAGCGCCGGTTGATAGGCCACAAATAACACAAGTAAATGTTTTGATTGGCTTTAAGACTCTAGTCTGCTCCATTTCATCAAATCCCTTGAAGGGACGCACCATCAAATATGGGAGAGAGCTGGAACTCATCTTCGTCCAGCTCACACTACATTTGCTTCCTCCATGCTCATCAGAGACAAGCAGGGGCATTACATCCACCCCGCCTTCCTATGAGGGTGACACCCAGGTGACAGTTGGGTCAAACCTCCCCACAGGAAAAGGACTTTTTCCGCCAAATCTCCATTTTCGTGACTAATTCTTTGGCCTTCTTCTTCAACACAGAGACCTGAGCAACAACCAGATCTCAGAGATAGCTCCTGATGCCTTCCAGGGCCTGCGCTCCCTCAACTCCCTGTAAGTGGCCCTCTGAGCTGAGTTTGTGTGTATGTGTACATGTAAAAGTATAAATATCCCCTCAGTTGTCAATTCCCGTGTCTAAAGCAAGTCTGTGTTGTGATTTCCCAGCGTGCTGTATGGAAATAAGATCACCGACCTGCCCAAGGGGGTGTTTGACGGCCTCTACGCCCTGCAACTGCTGTAAGCAGAATACACACACACACACTGCAGATACAGTGTAGACATATACTGAATATCAGCCATGCTTTAATCCCACTCAGTGAGGGAGTCATAACCTTCAAATAAACTTTGTACCTGTGCATAGTTTTCTTGATGGAATGCATAATGAATGTATGCATAAAGATACTCTGACAAGCTGCTTCCCTCCCTCTTTTCCTCATTCTCTCCTTCTTTCTCCCTCCTTCTTTTTTCCTTGTCTTTCCCCTTCTCTTAGGTTGTTGAATGCCAATAAGATTCACTGCGTTCGTGCCAACGCCTTCCAAGACTTGCAGAATCTCTCGCTGCTGTCGCTCTACGACAACAAGATCCAAACCGTTGCCAAGGGCACCTTCACTTCACTACGGGCTATACAGACCCTGTGAGTCAAACACTCACATAAACATACTGCCATACACGCTCTGACACATACTGAGCCGTCACCATAAAACATGAGCCAACACAGGAGTTGTTTACGCGCAGGTTTGTGTAATAACACAGGAATGGAATTATGAGGTGGAGAGGAGAGTAAATCTATCATCTTCACAAACACACGGACACACACAGCTTGTGCGGCCAGATCAAGATCAAAAACAGCACACACCGCACCCACTCCTTCCACCACTGTTACCCAGATAGCACCAATTCTTTCTGAATAAATGCGTCCCTTTTTATTTCTTTTCCAATAAACAAGGCAAACCACATGCTGTTATCGATACAGACCCCACACTGTGTCGTCTACCACGTCTGAAACTCAGTGCATGACATATGCAACAACAAGACGTATAAGACACCTGTTGAAGATGTTGGATAGTGTTGCCCCTTGGATCACACACACACACACATACACACATAGAGGGCACTGGGTTTAAGGATCACAGTCTAAAACAAGCTTCTTGTTTTGCCTGCATTCTGAGGAAGGGGTAAAAATACATGTACAGCTTCATGTAGGGTGGTATGGTTAAATTCAGTATGACGATATCAATAAGCAATATCTATTTAGACTAATTTGCCAGTTTATAAGGTAGTTATAGTTAAAATAGAAGAGATAAAAAGAGCTGCCTACAATACATGATCCTACAATAAATCCCATCTTCATGAAGTTATAATGTTTTAGAAACTAATTTTATGGTCATTTTGATGCTGTAGTTTGTGGTGATTTGTATTGAATTGCACTGAGAGCTGTTTCTAATCTTTTATAGACCAAATATTAGAAACATCTCTCCGTATAACGCAGTATAATTCACCAAAAAAAAAGTTTTTGAGTAGTTGGCCCATCATTCATTTTTAATTAACACATGTTTACAGCATTAAAGAAATAGTTTGATATTTTCATAGATTCATTTCATTTCATACATTCATAGATATTTGCATAGCACCAACAGAGCCAGGCTGGCTGTTTCCTCCTGTTACCAATCTTTACACGTCAAAATTTACACTCACTACTTGTCATTCTTGGGCTTGATCAGTTTTCATGTGTTTACCCCTCTCACTCTTTCTTCCTTTTCTTCTACTATCTACTTCTCTTACCATTTTCCCTTCTTTCCAATCCACCTCTCTCCCTCTCTCTCTCTCTGTTCTTTAGTCACCTGGCCCAGAACCCATTTATTTGTGACTGTAATCTGAAGTGGCTGGCAGACTACCTACGCTCCAACCCCATCGAGACCAGTGGGGCCCGCTGCGCCAGCCCTCGCCGCCTTGCAAACAAACGCATTGGACAGATCAAGAGCAAGAAATTCCGCTGCTCCGGTAGGCCGGTGGCTCAGTGTCACTGTCTTCAAATGTCTCCCTCTTATTTCTCTCTGGAGCTCTCTATCTCTCAGACAGGCTTTGTTGTTTTTATTCCACTTGTTTCTCGCTGCTCTACTCTTACCTTCTCCATTTCTCTCCGCTGGGAGTGGCTATTATCTCTGCATTGTTCCCCTACCTCTTACCACATTTAATGAGTGATCATTCCTGGCAAAAGGTTTTATTCGGCCTATCATTTGCTGTGCCGGTGCTCCTCAATCAATATCTCCCCAGATGAACTTGGGGCCAAGGAGAGAGGGATCGTTCGCTGTTTCTCCATTTCCCCTCCATATTACCACATTGTGAGTCTGGTTTCACATTCAAACCACAGTGGGCTGAGATCACCAGTCGAGGCTGGTATAAGGGCTAGAGTTTCTGTACATGCCCACCATTCCTCTGCCCTCTGCTAATCTCATGCTCCCCTTCATCTCCCCTTGCCCACTCATCGCTCTCTGCCTGGCAGTCTCAGGTTTCCTTTACATCCCCTCACTCCTCTGCACTTCACTAGTCAGGCCCCACCATCCCCACTCCCTCCACCCTGTGCCCACTATTGTGTTTATGCACTGTGCTACGCCGTCTGGCACTCTGCACTGCTGAGGTTTCACACTTCTTTATAGCCTCATTTGTTTGGCTGGACCTAGTGAAGAAGGGAGTCCATGTGTTTTTCTCTTTCTTTTCTCTTTCTTTTTTGGTCTTTTTTGGTCTTTTTTCCTTCTTCTTTTTTCTTTCTTTCTCACTGTCTCCCTCTTTCCCTCATGTCACTCTTCCTTAGCAACAGCCAAATATTTACCACCTTTTAACATTACGTTACTTGTTTCTCTACATTGCCATACACAGAGATAGACCTTCTATGTTTAATTGTCATATACCTTAAGTCATGTGTCGTCATATATAAGCTCTATATATGACTGTTCTGAAGCATAGCGTCACCACAGCTATGCAGGCCAGACTTGTCTCACTGACATCCGTCCCTCTTTCTTTTCCCCATCACAGCCAAAGAGCAGTACTTCATCCCAGGTGAGTGGCTTGTGAATGTTCACACCTATCATTGATTTCCTCCTTTCTTTAATTATCCATTTCTTTAATTATGCAGGATTGTAGCTGCATAAATCCTTTACTTACTGGTCATTTAAATGAAATTCTCCCACAGGTTAAAGGTAATAATTTCAGTTTACTACAACTTGGCTCTTGTTTTTGTAGTTTTGCCATCATTCGCTAATAGTAACATTTTATTTACAAGTGAATTGCTGAGAGCTAGGAGCATAGCGATGCTGCTAAAAATAAGTCCGACGGGGCAATAAACACAGGCACTTAGATCATCATACAGATTTTAAACAAACACACAGGTTAGGCAAACTAATGTGGAAGAGAAAACACAAGAAAACTACCTGTTGTTTTCTTCCTAGTTCAACTTTGGCCTGTAGTACTTGCCATAGTTATGTCCAAACAGTTTCCTTCTGCAAGGAGCAATTATTACCAACATTTCCAATACACTTCACTTTTGTTTTTACCTCCATAATTTCTTGAAATAATGGCCAAAACTATGAAAGTTGCAATAAACTGGAATCCTTTAATGGGAATGAGAATTGGATGAACCTCAGAGGAAATGACGTGTACAGAAATAACATTTAAGGCTGGCATATTGAGGTAACAAGTGTTGAAATTTGTGTGCTGGTGGTAGTAGGTAGGTATTTATATATGTAAGAACAGCTAATTGGGCCTATGAGTGACTTTATGATTAAATTTAAATGTAATATACGTGTGAGAGCGTCTGTTTCTTCTCAGCTCTGTTTTCCTAACAGTCTCAGCAGATAGAGTCAAAAGGAAGTTGCTCTTTGCTTTGGCATGAGCACAGACAGTCACTCACTGAGAGGGGCAGAAAAGGAGGGAGGGAGAGAAGGACAGAGGGGAAGGAAAGTGTGTCCTTTCTATCAGTAAAAGCTAAAGAAAATAAAGCCCACCAGAGGACCCAGATTCCTATCAGCGGATGTTTCCGGACCTCTTAACAAGAGCACTTCCAAGAAAATAACTAGGAGGAGCAGTGATGTGTGTCGAACTCCGTCCGGTTGTTGTGTGTGGTGTGTGTGAGTGGTGGTGAGTGTGAGTGTGGTGGTGTTTGTGTGTCTGTCTGTGTCTGTGTGTCTGTCTGTGTGTGTGTAAATTAATGTGTCTTTGTGTGCCAAGCTGAGATAAAGCTCTACACTGGCTTAGAGAACAAATGGGAGTACTATGTAAGCAGAAGGAAGATCAAAGCCAAATGTGATTAATGAGAATTTCACCCTCCCTGAATGATAACAATAAAAGCCTCCACAATACACACATGCATGCACTCAACACACACAATCGCTGACAGCACGGGAATTCCATAATACATTGATAATGAGGAACCAAGCTGCAGGGAATTATGAGAACTTCTACAACTCCAGCGATGACTCATTTTGCGCCTCAGAGAGGGAAAAACCTCATCCCTCTCCTATGTGTTTTCTCCAGTTTTGTTTAAATTGCCTGACAGTAAAAGTGTCGCCACCACACACTTGTGACGATGACGATGACTCAGGCTCACGAACGTCCCCTGGCTCCTCTACATCCTCAAGATCAAAGCGCTGTGCTGTACTTTCATTGCTTCCCCTGCAGCAGGAAATGCCTTTTCCTGTTGTCTGGCCTGGCGAGGGTCATTAAGTTCCTTAATGACCTGCATTACTGTGTCTATCTGCACCCTCCACTGAGTCACAGAAGTGACATAGCTTCAGAAAAAGTCTTTGCACAGGCAGCCAGAGGAAGTTGTTTCTGTGAATGCAATTCACTCCTTCACTGTCCAACCATATTCTAATAAAGTCAACGATGAGGGTTTGGGGTTTAAGTTATGGTTTCAAATGCTGCTCCATTTATTTAGACAGATTTTTGATACTCAACTGTTGGATTTAGTCCTGGTTGTTTGAGGTTTTCCTGCTCATGATTGTGGTCTGGGTGCCCCACTGTGTCCTGCTGACGTAATCTCCAAACCTCAGAGGCAGAGAGGTGCACCGACATGAGCATGCAAAAGGGAACGGGACACAAAACGATATCCTAACATCAAATGCTGAGCTGTACCCTATAAATGGAACATATGCACACACATAAGCTCTACACGCACGTATAAACACATATATATATACACACTGAGACACAATACACACACTCACAGACACACACACTGTTCTAAGTGGCTCCAAGTACTGTTCCATTATTGAGCAGCCATGATGTAACTGGCAGCACGCTTTTTGGCACGTAACGTCTATTCATAGACAGAGGAGGTGCAGGAAAACGTCCCACACTCCACTTGCTGCCTCGTTCTTGCATTTCCTCTATCGAGGCAGACGTCTTTCTGCTCACCTTTTGTTTCTGGTCTGTCTTCTTTCACTCCTTTCTTCTTGTTCTTTGCATGCATGTATGCCCTCCTTTTCCTGTTTCCTCCCTCTCTTTCCCTTCGACTCCACCTGTCTAGGCACGCTTCCTGTGCATCATTTCAACCACCTCATTCCCACCATCCCCTCTCTCTCTCTCTTGGGTGCTCTGCTTCACTGAAGATGGCAGCCCAAATCCTCTTTGGCATCCCTATCTCAATCTCTCCTTCTGCTGTTCTTTTCACCCCACTGCTCCCACTCTATCACCTCTCTAGAAATAACTTGCCCCTCGCCCTCACCCATTCATTTCTCGCCTATGAATAGTAGGAGAGCTGCAGGATGTTCTTAAGGGTGCCTAAGGTTAAAGATTACGTAGGGAAGCCGCCTTTTAGGTCACAACAGGACAAACTACTGACACACAGCTGTGGAGGGAGCAGATGCCCAGAGCATCATGGGAAAATGAGGATGATGTCATTGGTTATAAGAGTATATGTGTTTGCATTTTCTCCCTTTTAGGTACAGAGGACACCCGTCTGAATAATGCCTGTAACAGTGATCCAGTGTGTCCTCCCAAGTGCCGCTGTGAGTCCAACGTAGTGGACTGCTCCAACCTGAAGCTCACCAAGGTCCCTGAGCACATCCCTGCATCCACCAGTGAACTGTAAGGAATCAGGGAAAAAACAGGAATAAATGGAGTGAGCAGAGATAGCATGAAAAGAACTGAAAGAGAGAAAGAGTAATGAGATTGACTCTCAAATTTGATGGATTTATTTGTTTGTTTGTGGATAAACTTGCAACTTTTTCTTCACTAGTCGCCTTAACAACAATGAGATCACCACTCTGGAGGCAACTGGAGTTTTTAAGAGCCTTTCCCAGCTGAAGAAAATGTAAGTCAAACTTTCATTTTACTTTTTAAAAATAGTATATTTTCTTTTCTGACATGGGTTTTTTTTCTCCTCATAGTAACCTCAGCAACAACAAGATCACAGAAATCGAAGATGGAGCATTTGAAGGTGCATCTTCCGTCAATGAGCTTCATCTCACAGCCAATCAGATCGACTCAGTCCGAAGCGGGATGTTCCGTGGCCTTGAGGGACTGCGTATGCTGTGAGTGATGCACAAACACACACACACTCAGACATGCTGATATTTCTAAAATTCAAGATGATGTTTGAGATTATTAGGCTGAAGTGTTTAATTTCTTTCCTCTTCAGGATGCTGAGGAACAACAAGATTAGCTGTGTCCACAACGACAGTTTTACAGGGCTGCATAACGTCCGTCTGCTGTCTCTGTACGACAACCAGCTGACCACAATCACTCCTGGGGCCTTTGACACTCTGCAGACCCTCTCCACCCTGTGAGACCCTGGCATACACGCGCCTCTTCAATCAAGCATTTCAAGTTTTAATGTTCTTACAACCTCTCTTATGTTCACTATCTCCCCAGTAACCTCTTGGCCAACTCCTTTAACTGTGACTGTCGGCTGGCCTGGCTCGGTGATTGGCTGAGGAGTAGGAAGATTGTGACTGGTAACCCTCGCTGCCAGCGTCCGGGCTTCCTGAAGGAGATCCCTCTACAAGATGTGGCTCTGCCTGACTTCCGCTGTGAGGAGGGTAGGTGGTGCCAAGAAACACAGCCGCCTATTGAGATTCTCTTTCTATATGTCCTTATTTAGACCGTATCAGAAGTTTTGTTGCAGCTTCTCCACTTTAAATGAAGTAATCTGTCTTTTTGAAAGGAGATAAACATCTTTTATATTGTAGATGACCTCCACTATGTGCGAAACTAACCTGTGGATCTGACTGATGAAGATTTTAGCTGCACTCTACTCCGCAATACGTTATGAGCAAGGGCCGCTTAAAGTGTCTGAGATCATCTTAAATAATGACCGCTATTGTGCGACTCTTTGTTTACCGAATAGATTGCTACTCAGCAGTTCCTAAGCTGCTGGTCGATGCCGGGCTGAGTGGAGCTATTGAGCTGTTTGCCTTATTGACCAGTCAGCCTATTTGCACCTGAATGAATGTTAGACTTGTCTTCGGGCCTCAGGCAGCTTCCATTCTTTGCTCTTGCTGGTCGATATTACATTAGTGAGGCTCTTCTCTCTTTCGCTGTCCTATTTTACTTTTCACATTTTTCACTTCCTCTATTTTCATTGTCTCAATACCTCACCATCAGCTTGAAAGATTGTGCTGCTTTGGCACTGTCTAGTTTTAGGTGTGCTTTGTCTTTCTACTACATTTTCTTTTCTACTCCTCTTTTTTTATTACCAGGGATGACAGCTTCTTCTTTTGGCTGTTTTCCATGTTTTCCCCTACAATCCTGATCATTCCTCATCTCTCTACCTCTCTGGTATCTTTTCTGTTTTTTTCTTTTTCCCAGGCCAAGAGGAGTCAAGCTGTGTGCCCAGACCTCAGTGTCCCAGTGAATGTACTTGCCTGGAGACTGTGGTGCGCTGCAGTAACAAGCACCTCCACTCACTGCCCAAAGGCATTCCCAGGAACGTGACTGAACTGTGAGTTCCTGGCATTAATTATACCAATTGCATTCAAATCTTATCGGTTTGAGTTCTAGGTTTTATTGTTCCTTTGTCTGGCTTTAATCGAGGCAGGCCCTTGGAAGGAAACCAAAGGAGACACTATGAAATGGTAGAGAGGAGCTTAGGAGTTATGGGAGAGATAAGAATTAGTGAAAAGCAAAGAAAACAGATCTCATCATTTGGAGAAGGGAAAAGGAGTCAATAAACCCTGTAGTTATTCTCTCAGACATTCTTCTTCTGTGTTCCCTGCAGCCCTCAGGGCTAGCACTGATGTCACTCTCACACTCAGAGCCAAGGATCAGAGTGTGTGTGTGTGTGTTTGTGTGTGTGTGCATATTTGTGTGAGGACCAAAAGTCTGTCCACAGGAGCATAGGGGAGCAAGAGGACATTTTAATGAGCAGTTTTCAATGGAAAGGGGAGGGAATGGAATAGGTCTGGAACTTTCCAATACTGCTTCAAGTGGTTCAGACTAACTCTCACACACACACACAGATGCACACACACGCTGTGCAAGCCTTAAGGCCTGTCATTGTCCCAGCAGGTGTGACCAGGTGTGCCCCACTGTTCTGAGCTTTCATCTAGTCATCTGGAGAGTTTGCTACTCCATCATTATCCCAAGTGTCCTCTGCACCGTCATTACCTATCATTACCTCTGAACCCAAAGGCCCCCTTTACTAACCAGGAACCCCCCCCCACCCTTCCCGCCTTGAGTACAGTCAACAACAATAGCAGGAGAAAGCCCCTGCAGCTGCGCTCAGAGGGACCAGGCCCTAAATCAGCCATTTATCGAGGTGACAGCCCTCTGGTAGCACTTTGTGTTGGCAGTCAGCAGGCTGTTTGCATCCCTGCATGCATCATGTCAACTATGGTGGCTTTAAGATCAGTATGTTAGCACACACGTATGAACACACACATAAGTGGTTGTACCTTAGTCACTTCAAAAAGTGGGCTGCTGGGGCACATTCTGCTGCTAAAAAGAAATTTCAAATTTTATTACTGATTCAGTCCTAATAGAAGTGATATACAGCCCAGTATGTGTCTAGAATAGGGATGCTTACTAAGCCTGATTTCTTGACATGAGACAACAGTATGCACAGCACGGGAAAAAGTGTTCTGTTTCAGGATATATATTGTATCTACTGACTCATTAATGAGCTGTTTGTGTCTCTTCGTTCAGGTATCTCGATGGAAACCAGTTCAGTATTGTGCCAAAGGAATTGTCAGCTTTCAAATACCTACAACTGGTGTAAGTCTTAATCTGTCTGCCCCCCCCACCCCACCCCCATTTCACTGTGCACATCAATATAGTGAACTTATGCCAAAATGTCCTTTCAGAGACCTGAGCAACAACAAGATCAACTCTCTGACCAACTCGTCATTCTCTAACATGAGCCAACTCACCACTCTGTAAGTCCTGATCAGCCTCAGCCAAGATCTAGTATTTCATTCTAGTACTGACAGTAGGATGGAAACAACTGTATTTTGTATACACATATATGTAATTATTTTTTAATTGCAGAATCCTGAGCTACAACTCCCTGCGTTGTATCCCCAAAATGGCCTTCAGTGGACTCCATTCTCTCCGACTGCTGTGAGTTTATCAATATATACATAAATATAGTGTGTGTGTGTTCATCTTAGTATGTCAGCCTAGGATTGGGTCTTAAAATCCTATTTTTAATACAAAATGTATCTTGCCAGTGAGAGTTCTATTCTTTCCCATGCGAATCAAATGTTTCAAATGTGTCTTTGTTGTCATAATTTTGAAACGATGCTCAAAACAGCAACTTCATTTAAAACAATGGAAGTTATTTTGAAAGAAGAAAGAAGACTCACTTTCAGACTAAATGAGTTATTAAGGAGGATATTTTTACAGCTTGCACTGACTACAGAGACGCTGCAGCAGATGCTGAGAATCTTTGATTGACTCTAGAGGACTGAAACAGTCTAAACAGTTATGACAGCTTGTGCATTCACACACACACACACACACACACACATGCACAGACACATGCACAACCTACAACTTATTTTCGCTTTTTAAATGGCAGCCACGGGGCCAACAGCAGCAATGTTCCGGCTCCTACTCCTGCCCACACCTCGTCTTTAGACATCTGCCCAGTCTGCCTGTTCACCTCTAAACGCCCCGAGCTCATCACCGCCTCGCCTTCAGGGCCAAACACGCGCCCCCACAATCCGCTGTACAAAATCACTCTGACACTGATTACCAGAGAATGTTTGCCCCGCTAACCGTAATGGTTTTGACTCTGCCTCTGGGCTTTTATGAAGTTATGAAGTCTTTGATTGCGCACTCTCAGTGACCATGGGCTCCCTGTGGATGAATTGGTCTGCTAAATAACTGAGATGTAGAATGTAAATGTCTCCGACAGACAGATGACGAAACCAAACCAATCTTTGGACCTGCATCCAAAGATACAGCAGCTGGATGCCCCACACTTTAACTCAAACGTACAGTTTAGTTCTGTGAGGCAGAAACAGAGACCAGGCCCAGCAGCACTCCTTATGAGATTATGTATGCATCTGTGTGTATATGTGTGTGTGTGTGTATGTGCCTGTATGCATAGCTTACATGTTTGTCATCTACTGGCTTGGTGCCCGTTAGTATGTGTGTGGGAGTAGACATATTGGACTTCCATGTGTGCTCATAGCAGGCACACTTTTTACTACTGACAACAAAGCTTCAACAAAGCCTCTTTTTACGGCGGGATTCGACTAAAGTCCCGATCATTACGAGGCACAAAGCGTAAGAGCCCTTTTAGCGTGGAATGAGAGTGAAGCTCGGTCATCATTAGCTGATGCCGCCTTGCTAGTTCGGGTGCATTGCTTTGATCTCTAATGAAGCTGCGTCCGTTATTTCTGCTCTTGCTCACTCACGCCACCTTCACTTTTAAAATATTCCCTGTGCGAGTGTGCTAGACGCCATGTGAGGCCCTCCCCAAACACACACACACCATACAGGCTCAGAACTATATACAAGTTCAGACACACACACACATATTCGCACAGACTGTCTGGCCTACCTTATTGTCTCAGTCAGACGGGAGTCCAAATGAAGCAGAAAACTTTGATGTCTTTACTGCTGGTGTGATCAATCATAAGCCTCCCATTAAATGTCAATTGGTGCCTTGGCTTTTTTTTAAAAAAAACTAAGCAATGCTGTGGGGGTGGAACAAAACCAAAGCGACAATGAGCTCCTTTTAATAGTTTCAACTTCAAGACCTCACACCGGGTTCAAAGTTCAACTTTGGAAGCTTCATAGGAACCACAGTGAGATGCCAAATGCAAAAGCGGGACACGCTCATGCATACTCACAGACTGAGGTGCCAAAGCCTTTATAAAGCTGCACCTTTGGCTTTACAGAGCAGTAAAGAGGAGAAGAATCATTAACGCTCAGGGCTTCAAACAGACCAGGGGTCTCAGCCTGGCATGGATGTGGTGCAGTTTGGTGTGTGTGTGTGTGTGATGGTTGTGGTTTGAGCTGCAGATTAATAAGCTGCTAATTGGCCTGCTGGGTATTAGGTGTGAGTGAGCTGAGAGAGCGACAGGGCGTGGCACACCACAGTTGGGTGGGAAGCTGTGAGAAAAGAAAGTGATATGAAAGAGGGTGATAGTGGTAAAGAAAGTAAAGTCTGCAACAAGTGAAATCAAAAGCAAAATATTCTCACTGCTGATACAGTGCTGTGAGCAAATGCCAGTATCACATGATCTTCAACAACAAGAGATAAACCAAACGTGTAGCTCAGAGGAGGCACAGAATAACAAAACATTATCAACTGGTTGCAGGTGAACGAGTCTGTGTGAAGATTTTGAACAAGTTCAGTTGGACAGCCTGTGCACACAGTGCAGAACTACTTTTTAGACATAAACCATAATTTTGCCTGTCCAGAAACATCAAATGCAATAAGAGATAAGTTGCGTTGGTGAAATTGAGTGATGTAATGACATACAGCTGTAGAAAAGAAAAGTAAAAAGACACAGAGACAGACATAGAAAACGTTAGTACGAGAGCAGATCAGGTTTCTTCCTGGAGACTCCCTGGCTCCTTTCTCCCATGAGGTCTCTGCCTGGCTGGCACACTGCTGCTGGCTTCATGCCCTCAGTATCCTAACTGGTCTCCGACTCCCAGAACCCAACTACTCACTCCACACTAATAAGCATTCTCCCCTGCACACAGGCCAATTAACTTGTTGTCTCAGATGGTTACATTGTATATTTTTCCTTTCATACTCGAGCAACGGCTCTGTATCCTTACATTGACCAGCTGCACTGTCTGTATGCTTTCACCTGACTCTTCCGCAACTTAGCAGTAATTCACAGATCAAACAAAGGAGGAAGTAGGGTTTCAAAGTCTGTTTATACATCAGTTCTCTTCATCCAGGCATAGAGAGCAGATGTGTCATGTGTTGGTACTGTGGACTGAGCTGTGGTAACATTAGCGTGCGGTCATCTGAGGGTTGGAGGTGGTAATGACCTGGCGGATTACAGCAGCCATCAGTCATCTAGCCATTAAGCCATGTTGGCTTGTCACCCTGGATAGTACTCAGAGTACAGTGAGGAAAAGAACAGTATATACAACGCAGTGTAGAAACGCACAAACATTAATTTACATGTGGCCAAATATGAAAGCATATACATATACCTGTTAATCTGCACACACACAATTAAAACACAAATCTTTTTCTGTCCTCTGTGTGGTGCAACTCTTGTTACCCCCCTCCCTCTGTACACTTGTTGGCCCTGCCAGCCAGACGCACATAGAAACTTGACACCGGTCTTTTCCAGACTTACAGAGCCTCACATCTTTGCCAGCTGTACAAGGCTCAACCAGAAATACAAACCACCTACCACCCCACACAATACTGAAATATCCCTCAACATTTCTCCTGCTATTTCTGGTTTTAGTTGTCTGAAAACAAAGAAGTATGCAGGACTTCAGCTAACTTTTATTCTCATTACTGATTAATATGCCTGTTATTTTCTTATTCTTTTTGTCTCACCAATAGTTCAAAACCCAAATATATTTTGTATTCTATCATAGAAGACAAAAAAAAACAGCAAATCATCACCCTTGAGAAGCTTTAATGAGCAAATATTTGCTTTTTACTTTTTTGCTTTAGATAGGAACCAAGTGATTAATGAATTATTAAAATAGTTGCCAACTAATTTTCTAATCGACTAATCTAATCACTCTGCTCTAACAGTATGATAAAAAAGTTCCACTAAAGATCTTTTTTTTTCCCAATGATGAAATATGTTCATGGTCATAAATTTTCTCTTTCCTTCCTCCAACACCCCTAAGGTCTCTCCATGGCAACGAAATCTCAGAGCTTCCTGATGGCATCTTCAACGATGTGGCCTCACTTTCCCACTTGTAAGTAGTGACACACACACAACTGTATACCCCAATGGCAGGCTATGTGATACCGGCTGTACACACCACTGAGTTTGTGAAGTCTACACACATACACATACACACTTTCAGGCACAGAGGGGGTCTGGTCAGACAGCCGGAGAGTGGCTCACAGTGGCCTGTCTGTAGTCCTCTTTGGTGGGCTCCACATGAGCCAAGCCCTCCCTTAATCAGCCGCAGTCCTGTGGTTAAAGCAACACACAGACCCCTCTACTGCCTCATCTCCCTGTCACATCTTCGAAACACACACACGTTCACAAGCACACACGCAGATTCTCCACGGTCTGCTGACTTTAGTGTTTGTTTTGGTTTGTTGATATATGTCTGTAATTTTGTGTGTGACCATCGGGTGTGTGTTGTGTAGCCGTTGTGTGGTTGTGGACATATGTAAAACTATCCAGAAGTATCTTTGCAGTGTGCCCTCTGCCATTCCAGCCTCGATATTCATCCCTTGACAGCCGCTGATCAATAGACCTATCAGTGTCAGAGTTGGAGAGGAAGAAGGGAGGATAGAGAGAGCTAAACAAAGACATCATTTAGAGAGCAGTACAGGAGTCAAGGCTGCATATAAACGAGGTGATAGAAGGGAAGGGGGGGCACGCATTGATCCACAGTCACAGTCAAGTGGCTTTCATGTTAGCAGATGTCAGGTGTCAGCTATTGGCCCGGCCTGAAAGATGAGCCTGTGTTCCACCGTAATGGAACAGCATCGATTCAGGAGTGTTTGTGCATCCAGCGGGAGGACAGAGCGGCATTGATTCACGACCACCACGACAGAAGTGGTTTTAAGAGTACCTTCTGTTCACACCTTTGCCTATAATTGAGAAGCCCTCCTCAAGATGATGTATGGCACAAAGTGGCATTGAGCATTGAACTTCAGATCTGTTTTACTCTCAGAGAGGGAGGGTTTTAGTTGTATAGTACACAAAGTTGAGTTTTGCATGTTTTATGTAAGGGTGTAGAGACACCTGCTGGTGGTATAGTGTACTACAGTGTCAGAGCCTGTGTTTGTGTGAGATTGAAAGTGTAACAGCCACCTTAACTCATCAAATCACTGATGTGTTTATCCTATCAGGGCAATTGGTGCCAACCCATTGTACTGTGACTGTCGCCTGCGCTGGCTATCAGACTGGGTGAAGACCGGCTACAAAGAGCCTGGCATCGCCCGCTGTGCTGGCCCACAGGGCATGGAGGGCAAACTGCTGCTCACCACACCTGCAAAGAAGTTTGAATGTACAGGTGAGTTGGACACAGAAATATAGTAAGTATTAAGAAGCGCCATTATCTAAATGCAAGTCATTCATATTGGTCTGGCATTGCCCTAGGAGATGTGGACGCAGCAGTGCTGGCCAAGTGTAACCCCTGTCTGTCCAGTCCCTGTCTGAACCAAGGCATCTGTCACAGCGACCTGATGGAGATCTACAGGTGCAGCTGTCCTCCAGGATTCAAGGTCAGAGCCTATTTGTGAATATCCACTTAAAGCTAATCTTGAAGTATGCATAATTTATAGCAAAATATTAACATGGTCTCTGTTCTCTGTCTCAGGGCAAGAACTGTGAGACAGCTCTAAATGCCTGCGTGAGTAACCCATGTGCCAACGGAGGAACCTGCCAAGTGAATGAGGAGGATGGAGAATACAGGTGAGGAAGACAAGCTTTAAAATCAGTGCCACAAAGGAATTAAATATTTTATAAGGAACTTGGCATGATGACGTAATGACTGTGTATGATTTTACAGTTGCACATGTCCACTGGGCTTTGAGGGCCCCACTTGCCAAACCAACATTGATGACTGTGAAGACAACGACTGTGAGAATGGAGCAACCTGCATTGATGGAGTCAACAACTACACTTGTTTTTGTCCCCCCTACTACACAGGTTAGTGCATACAGCACAGACTTAAGTAGCAACTTCATTAGAATCATCTTATACAAATAAGCAAAACTGTGTTAATTGTTGCAACCACAACTTCCTGGAGGGACTGAATAAAGTAATGCAAATAGTGCCTGAAGCGATTATTTATCTTGGTTACATAGAAATGTAATTGTTCATGCTGTAATTACTGTATGACATTCTTGTTTTGCTGTTGTTGTTGTTGTTGTTGTGGTTCTTGCTGTTAATATGTTTTTTAAAATACTTTTTTTCTGTGTAGGGGAGATGTGCGAAGAAATTGAAGATGTGTGTGCCCCAGGACGGAGCCCCTGCCAACATCAGTCTACCTGCCTCATCACCTCCACTGGACCCAAGTAAGTGTTTACTGCCAGCAACATCAGTACAATCAATACGTATCGAAACATGTAAAATAAAATGTTACATGCAGACTAGGAGGTAGCTTTGTTGTAGCTCAGCTCGATTACAGTATTGTGTGTATTGCAGGTGTGTGTGCTCTCCTGGTTATATTGGTGACGACTGCAGTTTAGACTACAATGACTGTGAGGAGCATCGCTGTCAGAATGGAGCTCAGTGTATGGATGAGCTGAATGGATACTCCTGTGTCTGTCCTGAAGGATACAGGTGAGATAAGCACAAATTTAACATGTACAGGATTTATATTGGCTCATTAGTTTACTTTGATTTACTAATATTATCCTTCCCAAAGTAATCATTCACTCTCTTTCTCTCTATAGTGGTCAACTGTGTGAGGTTCCCCCATCTCCACTCTCCCTGTGTGAGCTGGCAGACTGTCAGAACAACGCCCCATGTGTGGAGCGAGGAGGACGTGCCCTCTGCCAGTGTCCTCCAGAGTTCGGGGGGCCACGCTGTGAGAAGCTGGTCAGCGTCAACTTTGTTGACAGAGATTCCTACCTGCTGCTCTCTGACCTCAAGAATTGGCCTCAAGCTAACATCACCCTGCAGGTATTCAGAATGTGTTAATGTGTGAACATTTATATGATTAGTCTTTCTGAGACCTGAATAATTCAAACACCCAATGCAAACTTTTTTCCCCCTGTAGGTGTCAACAGCTGAGGATAATGGCATCCTTTTGTACAATGGAGACAATGATCATATCGCAGTGGAGCTCTACCAAGGTCATGTCAAGGTCAGCTACGACCCCGGCAGCCAGCCAGGACACGCCATCTACAGGTAAGGTGCCATGTACCTTTTGAAAGGCTTAGGTTTACGGTTATGGTTGGCTGAATTCTGATGAAAAGGCATTTGTGTTTTGATATCTTACGTCCAATCTCCGTTTTCCTTTGTCAGTACTGAGACTATCAACGATGGCCAGTTCCACACGGTGGAACTAGTGACCTTTGACCAGATGGTGAACCTGTCCATTGATGGGGGTCTCCCTACCACAATGGACAGCTTTGGGGCGGTGCGGCCCCTCAACGGGGAGGCTCCGCTATACGTGGGGGGTAGGGGCCCTCTCCAGAACACACCTCCCTCCTCTGCAGGCACTCTTAACTACTACACTACTGTCAATCACCACCCCTCCCCCCTCGCTTTGTCACCACCGCAACCAACCCCTCCCCTCAACCATGCAACCCTTCAACCCCGTCCTACCTCCACCCAAACCCAAACCCAAACCTTACCCAAACCCACCCACACCATCCCCTCCTTCAGTCATGACTGTGTTTGCTAGGGGCCACACATTAATTAGACCTCCCAATATGAAATATGCACACATTTGTGAAGAACAAATAACCCATTTCAACTTGACAGATCAAAATCAATTCTCAAAAATGACAGATCAAAACCTATAGTGAACATACAATACACCACTTTATAATCCAATAGATCTATTGTCATTACAGCACATTTTTTACAGTGTGTAAAGTACACCCTTTAGTGATTACTATAAGAACTACCAGACACAGTCTTTACTTTTGGTAAAATTTGGATTTGCATGGATTTGCTTGCACAAAATGCAGCTGTATTTATTTGTAATGTGTGATGAGTTAGCCACTCTTGACATTGACACAATTTGACAGTCAAAATTCAAAGAATTTATCTGATTAAAGACCATTAAAAAAGGCTTTCTAACATTTGTTGCCATGCAGCACCAGTTTTGGGGTTGTCGTGGCAGTTTGCTCAGGAGTGGCTCAGAATTTGTACAGTTCGTTTCAGTGCTGTTCTGTGTTGTGCTGTACTGTCCTTCATTCATACAACACTACAGGAAGCAGATTCCCATACCTCTTTGCCTTTTGTTGTCCTCTGTTTCAAAGATGATGTGTCTACTAGTGCAAATGCAAAATATCAAAGTCAGTTTGAAAAACAGCTGCATATATTAATTTGACAAATTGTATATTCACTTTTAAGACACACATGTTTGAAAATGCCTTCCTCCATTACACTCATACCAGCCCTGTGTTAGTTATCTGTTTGTGACCAAGTAAGCAAGTCTTCACACCTATAAACATAATCTCTTTATTCTCTTTCCTCCTCCAGGTATGCCAGTGGATGTACACTCAGGTGCTTTCCGTCTCTGGCAGATCCAGAACGGCTCCAGTTTCCATGGTTGTATCCAGAACCTGTACATCAACAACGAGCTCCAGGACTTCACCAAGACCCAGATGAAGCCCGGTGTGGTACCGGGCTGCGAGCCCTGCAAGAAGATCTACTGTGTACATGGCATCTGCCAGCCTGATGGGGTCCAGGGACCAGTGTGCCATTGCCAGCCAGGGTGGAGCGGGCCGCATTGTGACCAGCCTGCTACCAGCCCCTGCCAGGGCAGCAAGTATGTTAGCAAAAGGGACAGAATTTATACTGTACAGCAAATATCTTATTGCCCCTTGTCTTAAGTAAAAGTACCAATAAAACAACACTATGTAAAGATACTCTAAAACAAGTAAGAGTCCTGCAAAGATCAAGATCAGAAAAGTTTATGGTACCTGTAACTGATATTAGAAAACCGATGCAACAGTGTGTAAGGCTGGCTATACCTTAGTCCAGTCTGGTTCCCAACATAAGGTTCGGGCCCCCTCAAAGTGGTCCCAAGATTAATGAGATGATTAATGAGATGATTAATGGGATAGGAAAAACGAAAAAAAAAAAAGATTTTTCTCTGCCAATTTCTTTTTTTTCTTCCTATTTTCTATATTTTCATTTGGGAAATGTCTCTTTGGTGGCAGCTAACAACTCATAGACATCCAAAACATGACATGGGGCCCCAAATACATACTGCTATTTTGTGAGGGTCACAGGGCAAAAAGGTTTGGGAACCACTGGTGTAATATGTTGTTTTAAAAGCTCATTTTTATAAAAAGGAACCAGTAACTATTAATGTAGTGGAGTACACATACTGTACTGCTCTTGAAACATCAACTTAATTGATTTATATACTGAGCAGGAAATCTGATGCCAGTGATTGTCTCTTACTAGGTGCGTCCATGGAAAGTGCATCCCACTGGACAGTCAGTCCTACCGCTGCGAGTGTGTAGAGGGTTACCGAGGTGCCCTGTGTAACCAACAGGGAGAGCTATTCAACCCGTGCCGTCGCCTGTCCTGCAAACACGGTCGCTGCCAGATCTCAGACACAGGAGACGCCTACTGTCACTGTGAAAGTGGCTACACTGGGGAACTTTGTGATGCAGGTTGGTTTTGCTCTATGTTGACAAAAAAAACTTTGTTGATATGATTCAGTGATCACACTAATATCTGTGCTCCTGCTTTCCAGAGTCTGAGTGTCGAGGGGAGCCTGTGCGAGACTTCTACCAGGTACAGCGAGGCTACGCCATCTGCCAGACAACACGCATGGTCTCTTGGGTGGAGTGCACTGGAGCTTGCGACACGGGGGCCTGCTGCGCCAGCCAGCGAATGAAACGCCGGAAATACACCTTTGAATGCAGCGATGGAACCTCCTTCAGCGAGGAAGTGGAAAAGACCATCAAGTGCGGCTGTGTGGGCTGCATGTAGCACCATTCACTCACATTTCCTGCTGCTGCCGCCAAGCAGAAGATAGAAAGAAAGGAAGGAAAGAAGGAAGAGAGAGGACTGGAGGAAGGCGAGGGAGGGAAAGAAAGAAAGAAAGAGAGAGAGTATAAAGAGTATATATAAAACCTCTATCTATATATTATGGACAACAATGTTTGTAAAATAGGACATTTCTTGCCCTTCCAAGGGTGTGTGACCTACAGTAACACAGAGAAACCAACATCATGAGCAACAATGTAGAAGTGACAACAACGGCAACAAAAACCATTGTATCTGCAACATTGTTCCAAGGGGTCGAGAGATTTCAAAGGTGTTGCATTCAGAGTGAGGCATCCCTCCAACCCAAATTACCCAGTGTGAATTCCCCATCCATCTGCGAGGCCTCTGACAGCCTAGCCACCATCTACCATCTTTACTTCGTGGAGGCAGTGAGGACAGTGGGGTCCAGCCTGGCTAAGAATGGCAGAAGCGAGGCAGAGAAAGACAAAAAGAGAGAAACAGAGAGATAAGAAGTGAGCTGGACCGTTTGACTTGGCAAAGCTATCTTGAGTTGAGCTTGGCTGGGTTACCTGGACTGGGCTGGATATGGTTTGGGTTGAGTTAATGTTGGTGTTGGTTTGGTGTAGCAATTTCTCTGCCAGGATACAGTCATCCATCCACACATGCACATGTAGAAGTGAACAAAGAAAAGGTAGGGTTAGAGTGGCACATAATCCAGTGCGGATGTCGTGGCTTTGAGGCCAGGTGGTCTGATGTCACAGTTGTTTGCTGTGAGGTACCGTAACATAGAAACTTCATAAAAATAGAGACTGCACTGATTAGCAGCACTGAAAAACGACAGTCATACACCTCTCCGAAGTTCATGATCACACATGCATGACATACATACATTTACACACAGTCTTGTGAGAGCTTGTGTGGTGAACTAACTATTCTGTTCGTACAGCAAACCGATCTGACACTGGCAGTGCCCAGTGGTTATCAGTCCCCCAGCATACATTGCCTCAGGGTTAGGATGATTTGCATAATCCCACCCCCTTTGAGCAGGAGGCTGTTAAGCCCTGCTCCTCTTGATGCCTGCAGTATTAAACTTGTGCAAACTATTGCATGTGTGGAGAAGAGTTTGCCAACAAATATGTAGAGCTTCTTAATATCATTATAAATGTTATTACAAAACAAAAAGGTTGCAGAATCATCTTCTGATTTTTGTTTTGTTCTGTCTAATTTCTCATATTGTTTTTATTTTTGTTATATTTTGTTATATTTTGTCTCATGGTGTAACCTAACTCCTTTAGCCGCCCCCAACCCTCCCCTACAACCCTTTATATAGAAATGCCTAACAGATTCTAATATATATATATTTGTATTTCATTTTGGTATAGTATTTTTCTATGTTAAAGAGTAAGTCTGTTTCTGGAAGCTTTGGGACTGGTGGAAAGGCATTCAGTTGGTTCCCTAGGTGTTTTTATTTGTTGATCTCACTTGCACCAACAAGGTAATTAATTACGTTAATTGGCCAAAAATACAGCAGCTGGTTGGCCTTGTTGTATAGGAGGCAGTATTGGTCTAGAAATGTTTAATATTGTATATGTTGTCTTCCATGTGAATATTACATCTAATTCATGAGAGTCTGTGGTTGTTTTTATTTATTTTATCTAAAGGCGTTTTCCTGTAGAAAGTGAAAGGCATAAATGTTGCTGACTTTCAAATATTTTCAAAAATTTCAAAAAGATGAAAAAAGGTAAAATAATAAATAAAAATAGCATAAAAATCTGTAAGGTATTTGTAACATCACTTAATAGCGAGTTACGGCAGTGTTTTCCTCCTCTCTGGCTCAGACATTCCTCATTTGCTGCAGGGGCTGGAGAGGTCAGAGCTGGGATTAAGAGATGTCCCCCTCAAATTTACCTTGTAATTACCATACCACACTTAAAGGCTTCTGATTATTTTCATGTTCATTTTGTTTAAGTGCTGGGTTGTATTTCTATCATTTTTTGATTTGAGAGATGTTTGCCATAGAAAGAAGGTGTTTTTAGTTCAACAGAGTTAAAGTAGTCAAGCTCAACTGATCATAAGCTGCTGTCAAGCCAGAAGAAATAGGATGAAGTTGTTTCTGTGGACAATGATCATGTTAAGATATATCATCCTTGATCTGTTTGAATAGGCAACTGTGTGAAGCATTAAATGCCTACTACTGACAGATAATAAATGAGAAAGGTCTGGACATTTTAATATCTGTCAGTTCTGACTGGCGATCGACACACAAAAAAAAGAAGAAATGGTGCCAATTACAGTGAACACAAGAGTCATACCTGAATGTATAAATGTGTATAGATAAATATGACCTATGCTTATTCATGAAGTGGTAACTTTTAGCTGTTATTTAGTTTCCAATGTAAGATATAGAAATCACATACTGTTCAATAAGTGACAGTCCATCAGGATGGCTTAAGGCATTGTTCTCCCTGCAGATTGGGACTGTGTTTATCCATTTTGCTGATCTAAATGTTAAAAGTCTCTTTATAGTGTGAAAGGCTGCAGACCCAAATCTCAGCTTGGTACAATGCACACAGAGCTCCTATTCATATTGCTACCCATGTTGACTTTGTTTTACATGCTGTTGTTGTGATCCCAGTGGTGTACAATAACATTAAAAGAAGATCTCATAAAGGATACTGATGAACAGTCACTGTAATTGTTAGGCTGTGTGCCTCATAAAGGTGCATCTTTAGTCGAATGTGGCTTTCTTTTCATGTCTCCTTTCCTTCCTCTGCACTGATCTGTACTGGACTGGTGCATTCAGCTTCCTGGTAGACATCTTAGTGGTGCTTGTGCTATATTGAGATGTAATTCAGTTATCTGGTCACATGACCGGAAACAGATTTTCCATCCTATGAACTATATACATACATATGTTATTGTAAACGACACAATGTCTCTGTTGTATTGAATTGGTGCAAAAACTTAAGAAATATCCCTGGTTGGGTTCTGTCTGTTTTACTTTTTTTTTGTTACAGGATTGATGGTGGGATTAAACTGAAAAACTCCCAATAATGCTGAATGTATGTAGTGCCACCGACAAAATGTTTACCAAACCTCCACTCTTTTTCATTAATTAAACTTAAATGTGTGTGCTTTTAAGAATGTGTTGTCTTTTTTCATTTACTTCACATCTTCTTTGTTATTTGACAAAATTTAAAAGCCTAAAACCTTTAAGCCACACAGATGAGAAGTCCTTAAAGTTCTCAGAGAAAATGTACTAATCTACAATTCTGTGCTAACTGGGAAAACTTCATCGTGTGATATGATCAAAAGCTCCAGAACAGCTACTAAAAGGACTTCATGTGAGATGATTTTTTTGTTTTGTGTTTGGAGTTTATCAGAGACAAGCATCCTGCCAAAACTGAAGAATTGGCCATCAACTGAGAATTTATGGCCCACCACTCCTGAGTCCTGACTGATTTTTATCAACACAGAAGGAATTCAGTGCAGTAAAGGAAATTAGTAGCGCTGTTTTCTTGGCCTTGACTGTGTGAAAGCACATCAAGCCCAAAGGGTTGGATGCTAATTCAGGGAGAACCATGGTCATTCTGCCATGAGGCAAACAGACTTCACCCAGCCAAAACTGAGTCCAAGTCTAGTTCACAACATTGGCGTGTTGAGTAATTGCTCATCTGTTGTCACTTCATCCATGAGTATGATTGGAGTAGGAAAAATATTCCCTGTGGTCCATTTTCAGAGGTTTCATATTGCCTTGACAGCTACTTGTTGACACACCCAGCAGAATATAATTTAAAGGTGTCTCTCGCACCACATGTCAAGGCTGAGTCTTTACTGCAGCTTCCCCGGGTTCGAGTTCGGCACCCAGTGATACTTGTCTGTAGCCAGGAGCTAAATAAATAAAATAACTTAGTAAGTAACTAATTAAGTAATATCTGGGTGTGCAGATGTCTCAATTTTGTCTAGCTAAATAGAGGCTTGCTGAACAGAGAAGCCTTGTAGAATATACTGGTAATCAGAGTGAAAAACAATTCTTCACCATAGGAGTACACTGTAAAAAGACTATTTGGATTGCGAGAGGAAGGCGACAAATGGTCACCGAACAGGGAGGACCTCAAGTAAAAATCAGTTCTTATTCTAACAACCCACTGACTACGAACAACAATCTGTCTCAGTAGGGCTCTTACCACCATGTATCTGTCTGTGAAATAGAAACTTCCGTGGTGTCCAGGATGGTAACACTGACAGATTGCTCTCATGGGTTGGACCCATTCAGAGTGCAAATTCAGTCCATCATCTTCACTAGATAAGAAAAAGTAAACAGTAAAGGGGTATGTGCCTGTGCTGTTTTTTTTCTCATCTTCGCCATCTCTCCAGCTTCAGTTGGAGAGAGAACATTGCATTTCACCATTAAGGTGAATGAAACAATCAATTTCCTCATGCCATGTTTTGGTGAGAAGTTGGTGTTCGTTCACCTTCCGTTTTCTACAAGGACTGAGGTGACAGAGGCCAACTGTTAACCAATCTGTCCCACAGCGGGAGCTTCCTGTGGTGCTCGGGACTCTTGCCCGTGAGCCGTATGGTAAGTCATGGCAGGTCCCTGTCATGTGAAATGCCTTCATTGGCTACACCAATGTATTTCATAAAGCTGTCACACTTGCCATGAGGCCTCAGTTCACTAGAAGTACAAGTGCTTCAACTGCTCAATTCTCATGAACAGCAGTAAATATTATTAAGTAGTTAAACGTGTAAGCCCCTGTCCCAATTTGTACAATTCATTGGGTGGAGACTATAAGACAGACCTCTTGGAAAAGATTAGGAAGACAGAAGACAAAATGTACCTAGTCTGTTTCAAGCATATGAAACCCTTTGGTTTCCACCTTGCCACTTGAACTTCTTTTTGTACTTTGTCCAAAATAAATGTAGTTCAACTTGTCTGGTTAAATAACATTAAAACACTGACACAAATGAGCCAAGAAGCAAAACATAAAATTCGAACATCTTTATATCAACTCCAGCAAAAATACAAAGTTCTTAACATAAAGATGTATCATTCTTGGGATTACCACAAATAAAGCAGTTATTTCTTTCTAATATACAAAATCAAAATCTTTAAATAGCAACTGTAAAGAATAAACATGTTCAAGTCTGATATTTGGTGGGCTGTTTTAGATTTGTGAAATTCATTAGCCTACACAGAGTTCTTAAATAACAATAAAAACATGACAGACATGTTTTGCATTTAAAGATGATTTATCCTCTAAAGAGAAATGACCATAAAAAAAAATAATAACACTGTGCTAAAAAATGTATTTTTGTTTTGACAACACACTAATGTAAGTTACTACTGTGGAAGTAACAAAACTTCACATTATGAGAACATCTGCCAGACAGTCAATGACAATAAAAAATAACATAATAAAACTGCAACATACTTGGATACACAACTCTGACTAGACTACCCCCAGAACGTTGTATCCAACTTGTGAATAATCAGGAAAGGTATTTCTCACCCTGTAATGAGCCATTAATGCTTAAAGAGGCCATAAACTTCATTCATATTAACCAACCAAATATACATTCTTTTCAGGCCTTTGTCGTTGGGGGATACTGGCTCGTGTATCACTTTGTCAACAATATTTCCATCAGTCCTCTCAGTCAGTACAGCTTTTTGACGGGCACTGAATGGGATTAGCATATCCAAAAATCAAGGGCATAAATATAGTTCTGTGTTTCAGTTCTTGGAAGGCAGCAGCGCTAATGTTAGAGTTTCAGAAACTGTCTCCACATTAACAAGACTTAACACATGCAGAAGCAGGTAAAATACTCAAAGTGAAGTCACTATAATGAGCAGAGAACAATGGATGCAATGGTCAGAAGTGACTGCAGGGGTACACAGTGATGAAAACTGACCTAAAACAACATAAAACTTACAAACTTTTGTCACATACAGAGCACGCTTGTCTGTTTTAACAGTACAGACACGTATTTGTTTTAACGCCTAATACAACTATAATAAGAACAATTTAAGTTAATGGTCTGGGTAAATGGGCATATGAAAATACACCTGTCAGGTAAGTAAGTAAATCAGAACATCTGAATGCCTCAGTCAACATAAGAAGTTACAGATGAAGCACGATGCACATACTGTATGGAACGGAAACTATTTGCGCACACACTTTGTGAAGCAAATGAGCGTTGACTGCCTCTCCAGCAACTGAAAGCTGTTATAACTAAAGGACAGGAATTTTCACATTTTACTCATTCTATTACTTTACACTTCATAAATAAGGCACCTGGTCACAACAGTCACATATTCACAATGTTGCGATTGGAAGACAGGCTGGAGATACAAGCTGCCTACTTACTGTAAGTAAAAGATTTATTCAACAGCTAATCTCCCTTCTCATAGCAAGCTCTCAGAACAGTAAAGTTAAATGCATGCTATCATCTAAAACAATAACTATATACAAAATGGCAAAAAAAAAGAAAGGAAACGTGAATGGATTTAATGTCA